GCCTTCGCTGAAGAAACTCTTCCCGTTGTCCACATTGGTGAGCAACTCTCACCAAACCAGAAGGCGGAGCTGCAAGCCTTGGTTGGTCAGTTCAAGGATGTGTTCTCTGAGAAACCGGGCCGAACCTCCATCATCCAACACAACATTATCACTCCTCCTGGCACCATCGTCCGGCAAAGGCCCTATCGAGTTCCAGAGGCTCGCAGGCTGGCTATCGACGAGGAGATCCAGAAGATGAGAAGGTTAGGCATCATCGAACCATCCCGTAGCCCGTGGTCCAGCCCAATAGTGATGGTCCCCAAACACGATGGCACCCTCCGTTTCTGTAACGACTTCAGGAAACTCAACGAGATCTCCAAGTTCGACGGATACCCCATGCCTCGGGTGGACGAGCTGCTGGATAGGCTGGGTGGAGCCCGATTTATCTCCACCATCGACCTCACCAAAGGCTACTGGCAGTTACCACTCAGTGAAGACGCCAAGGAGAAAACCGCCTTCTCCACACCCGGTGGGCACTGGCAATACCGGGTTCTTCCCTTCGGGCTCCACGGGGCCCCAGCCACATTCCAAAGAATGATGGACATCCTGCTGAGGCCCCACCAGCCATATGCAGCAGCCTACCTGGACGACCTCATCGTCCACTCAGAGTCATGGGAAGAACACCTATCCCGGTTACGGAGGGTGCTCTTAGATCTTCGACGGGCTGGGCTCACAGCTAATCCCAAGAAATGCCACCTGGGTCTAGCCGAAGCCAGATACCTCGGCTTCCACATTGGACGAGGTCTCATACAGCCACAACAAAACAAGGTCAAGGCACTACAAGAAACTCCACAACCCACCACAAAGACCCAGGTACGTGCATTTCTGGGGTTAGCGGGCTACTATAGATGTTTTATACCTAACTTCTCATCCATAGCCAGCCCTCTGACAGACCTGACCAGAAAGGGGCAGCCGGAGAGGATAAGATGGACCAAGGAAGCCGACGATGCATTCCGAGCCCTTAAGACGGCCCTCACGTCCTCACCGGTACTGCACGCACCTGACTTCGGCTGCCCCTTCATTCTACAGACGGATGCTTCCGACTCGGGCCTGGGCGCGGTCCTCTCCCAGGTCCACGGCGATGAAGAACATCCCATCATGTACGTGAGTCGGAAGCTGACCCCCGCAGAGACCCGCTACGCAACGGTGGAGAAGGAGGCCCTGGCGATCAAGTGGGCAATCCTGGAGCTAAGGTACTATCTCCTTGGCAGGAAATTCACTCTGGTGACCGACCACGCCCCGCTACAATGGATGGCTACAGCGAAGAACAGCAACGCTCGGGTCACCAGATGGTTCCTGTCGCTCCAGGATTTCAACTTCGACGTCCAACATCGAGCCGGGGCCTCCCACGGAAACGCAGACGGACTCTCACGGCTCTGGTCAGGATGGGCAGGTCTGTCGAAACATTCTACCCCCCCTCTCAATACACTGCTCTTCCTTCGCAGGATACCCAGGACCAGGACGACGCTAAGGGGGGGAATGTAGCGAGTCGTGTAGTACCACGTCGCCCTGGGCACAAATCCACACCAGCTGGATTTCTCATCAACCCCGGATCGCTCACAGCTGGACCTCATCAGCCGGGGAGAGATATAAGCCAGCCCCACACAGGAGGAAGTTGAGCTTCATTTGACATGACTCCCTGCGCTAACGCTTGTCTCTCTCTGTCTCTCCCACAGCCGAATCCAGCTCGTGACCGATCCAACACTCTACTTCTCACCAGCCTTCACCATCTCCCCGGAGCACTTGAGCACGCACCCTTAAGAAGAGCACTCATTCACCCCAATATCACTTGTAAATAAAGGCACCCTCCGGGGCATTGTTTGTAACATTACCTACGGTGTTTGTGTTTTCCCTCTGCCTCGCTACAATATATATGTATATATATATATATATATATATATATATATATATATATATATATATATATATATATATATATATATATATGTGTGTGTGTGTGTGTGTGTGTGTGTGTGTGTGTATAAGGGTGTAACGATACGCGTATTCGTATAAACCATTCGGTGTGAGACTTTTGGTTCGGTATGCATTACGCATTGAACGATTAAATTCAGACTAATATCTAAAAAGATAAAAGAAAATAAGTACAAAATATTATGTTTTCAGTGCAACAACGCTCAACATGCCATCCCAGATGACGTGGCAGTCAACATGCTGCCTTCCCCGTTGTCATGTTAAACAGTAGACCATCGCTTTTGAACTATAGAATATCACTTTATTAAAGCATGCGCTCATTAGCTATCTTGCGAGCTTCTCCTGGATGCCCGTAAATGAATGATAATCTTCTGGAAATCGCGCGTCACCATCAGCGCTACCAAGAGAGTGGTGGAAAAAAACATCTGAGAGATCTTAATCGGTAGTGAATATGTCGGGTTATAAGAAAATGTTAAACGTAATAGAGCCCCGTTACATTATTCCTTCATAAGCCCATTTCAATCAGAAAATTCCTGCTTTCAGATCCACAGAAATGGCAGCTGACAGTCAAATCAAGCAGATCTTTGCTGTCTGAGGAAAAGGTGGACACTCATCTTTCTAAAAAAAATGCTTAAAAACTGATTGAAACTGAGCTCCAAATAAAAACTGAATTGTTCTTTTCTTTTATTTGTTTAACTGCAACAATATTACATTTATTTTTATAGGAAGCTTTTTGGTTTTGAGTATAAAGAAGGATTTGTTTTATTTGCTGCTAAGCAGAAACCCCAGAAGTATAGCTCTATCACTGTTTAAAGTAAAAGAAAAAAAAAACAAGATCAAACTTTTATGATGCTAGTTTTAATACATAAAAAAATTTAATCAGAGAAATCCTCTGGCTTTTTTCTTTTTTTGCTGTATCGAAAACGCACCCAATCGAGACATCACTGTATCGTATCATACCGAACCGTGATTTTTGTGAACTGTTACACCCCTAATATATATATATATATATATATATATATATATATATATACAACAGTTCTGTCTGCAATAACAGCATTTGTAAATCCTCTTCACTCTTCTGTATTACTCCGCCCACATACAGTGACAAGCAGAGGACACTTTACAGTTTGACAAATATTGCAGCTGTTGGACAACATAATGTACTTTTAAGGCTTTTTTTAGAGGAGAATGTAGTTGTTTACATTGCATTTATGCAGTTTATTTTTAAAGACAGTGCCTATTTTAATGCAGTTACTTTCCTATCCCGGTTCTCAACAGTGTTATTCAGAGACCTCACCCCCGAACACCCCCTCCCCCCCGGTCTGCCGGATTTTCAGAGACATGTTGGCAGGTATGCGCTCTTTTTTTGTATGTTGTAGTGCTGTATTTTTACAGATTTCCTCACATATCAGGAATGTGTGTTGTGTTTGCAGAAAGAAAGAATAAACGCGTTTTTCTTTATCGCAAACACAACAGCAGTCTGGTAGTGATTGCATTGCTTTTTTAATTATTTATTAATTATTGTGATATCCTGATTGCAACAGAGAAATACTGTAGACCACAGGTGTCAAACTCAGTTCCAAAAGGGCCGCAGCTCTGCACAGTTTAGTTCCAACCCTAATTAAACACACCTGATCAAACTAATTGAGTCCTTCAGGCTTGTTTGAAACCTACAGGTAAGTGTGTTGGAGCAGGGTTGGAACTAAACTGTGCAGGGCTTCGGCCCTCCAGGAATTGAGTTTGACACCCCTGCTGTAGACTGTAACACTGTACGAAGATATCTCTGTAGATGGATGGCATTTCATGTTACGTTCAGCCTTATAATCTTATAAATGAGAGCAATATCAGCTGTTTTGTCATCACTTTAGACATTACGCTAGAGAATCATTCAAACACTAGCTCTAAAGTGACGTTGGTAAAATAATAACGGTTTCTGCTGTTCTAAAGTCAGCTGCAGATGTGAATGAATGGTGGAAGAAAGTAGTTCCTCATACAAAAGGGGTTTTTGAGACTGTGTTTGATTTGCTTTTTTACATACACGATTGTGCCGTCAAACTGTTGTATAAAGGCAATATCACACTAGAAGAAGTGCGATATGGCTGTATATCAGCACTGGTGGAACGCTAAGGCACTCGGCCTCCCACCAGTGCTGATATACAGCCATATCGCACTGCTACTTGTGTTATATTGGTCATCTAGTCACCGGCCACTTTATTAGGTACACCTTACTAGTTCTAGTTCTTTTGACTTCAGACCTGCCTTATTCATTGCATAGATTTAACAAGGTACTGGAAATATTCCTCAGAAACAACATCAAACCATGCATCCATCCTGCCTTGTATCAGCGGTTCAGGCTGGTGGTGGTGGTGTGATGGTGTTGGGGAGATTTTCTTGGGTCCATTAGTACCAATTGAGCATCAACGCCACAGCCTACCTGAGTATTGCTGCTGACCATGTCCATCCCTTTATGAGCACAGTGTCTCCATCTTCTGATGGCTACTTCCAGCAGGATAACACACCATAAAGCTCAATCATCTCAGACTGGTGAACATGACAATGAGTTCACTGTACTCAAATGGCCTCCACAGTCACCAGAGCTCAATCCAATAGAGCAGCTTTGGGATGTGGTGGAACGGGAGATTGGCATCGTGGATGTTCAGCCGACAAATCTGCAGAAACTGTGTGATGCTATCATGACAATATGGAGCAAAATCTCTGAGGAATATTTACAGAAGCTTGTTGAATCTACAACATGAGGATTAAAGCAGCTCTGAAGGCAAAAGGGAGTCCAACTTGGTACTAACTAATAAAGTGGCTGGTGATTAATTCGATATATATATATATATATATATATATAGCTAGTTTTCCAATGAGGTCAAGGGTTTTGTTATCGCAGAACACATCAACAGAACACAAGTTTCACACACACCCTCATGCATGGCTCCATCAAAGCTCTGTTGTGTGTGTGTGTGTCTAATCCATCAGTTCCTCAGCATATAAAGCTCCTCTCTCATCATCAGACCTCAATCATCATCCGAGAGCGTGTGAGCTATGGACAGCGTGTTGTGCAGCGAGCGTAGGGATCTGGGCCGTGCGGTGTGTGTGGTCACCGGAGCGTCGAAAGGCTACGGCCGGACGCTGGCTCTGCAGATCAGCTGTTTACTGAAGCCGCGCTCCGTCCTGCTGCTGGTGTCCCGAACCGCAGACCAGCTCAACCAGCTGAAGCAGGACATCGTGAGTCTGCACGCGGCACACACTGATCTGCAGCTGGACGTGCGCTGTGTGCAGGCCGATCTGCAGGAGCCCGACGGCGTGCAGAAGACCATACAGGAGACCAGAAACACTCTGAGCACTGATATAGAGCATCTGCTGATCATCAACAACGCAGGTCAACATTATACTTGAATATGTGTGCGCAATGTGTGTGTGTGTGTGTGTGTGTGTTTGCATTTATATATGCGTGTATTCATCTATACATTGCTTGTACTGTGAAGAAACAATCTTGTCAGGGTGGCTCAGTGGTTAACACTGTCACCTCACAGCAAGAAGGTCGCTGGTTCGAGTCTCAGCTAGGTCATTTGGCATTTCTGTGTGGAGTTTGCATGTTTTCCCCGTGTTGGCGTGGGTTTCCTCCGGGTGCTCCGGTTTCCCTCACATGCACTATAGGAGAATCGATGAACTAAATTGGCTGTAGTGTATGTGAGTGAATGAGTGTGTCTGGGTGTTTCCCAGTACTGGGTTGCATCTGGAAGGGCATCCACAGTGTAAAACGTAGGCTGGAATAGTTGGTGGTTCATTCCGCTGTGGTGACCCTTGATAATCAGAGACTTTGCTTAAGGTATATGAATGTGTGTGTGTGTGTGTGTGTGTGTTCAGCGTCTCTTGAGTGTGTTGTTTGTTCACTGACCTATCTAAAGTGTGTGCGTGTGTGTGTATTTAAATGTATGCATATATGTGTGTGTGTAGCATCTCTGGGTGACGTGTCCCGCTGTGCTGTGAGCTTCACTGACCCGTGTGAAGTGTCCCGGTATCTGGCTCTGAATGTGAGCGGTGTGTTGAGTCTGACGGCGGGGATCCTGCAGGCGTTTCCTCCAGCGGTCGGCCTGCGCAGGACGGTGGTCAACATCAGCTCTCTGTGCGCCCTCAAGCCCTTCCCCTCATGGGTGCTGTACTGCACGGGGAAAGCGGCCCGAGACATGATGTTCAGGGTGCTGGCGGAGGAGGAGCCCGACCTCAGAGTGCTCAGCTACGCCCCTGGTGAGACACACACACACACACACATACACACAATTAATAATAATAATATAATATAATAAAATGGGTTATTAAATATTTATTGAGCATGCAATAATAAAATATAGAAAAGAAAAATTACATAGAAAGTCATTTAAAAATACAACTAAACATATTATTAATTAATGAGCAAGAGTTTATAAAACATGTAAACATATATTACAATATATAATATAACATATTATATTATATTACATGCTTTAAGAACATAAAACATGTCATATTAAAAATTTAAAAAGTGAAATTATAAAGAAATAGTAATTTAAAAGTACAATAAAACATGTTATTTCTTAGTGAGCGTGCAATATTAGAATATAAAATGGTGTAATGTTAAAAATGACAAAGAAATAGACATTTAAAAATACAATTAAACGTATTTTTAATTAATTGAGCATGCAACGTTAAAAATTAGAAAGAAATACTTGTTCAAAAATAGAATAAAGCATGTTAATATTGAATTAATAAGCATGGATTATTAAAATATAGAATGATATAATATTAAATAAAGAATAATCAAATGCCAAAGATGAGCTGACTTTAAAGTAAAATAAAACATAAGATTAATTAATTGAGCATGTAATATTAAAATATTGAATGATTTAATGTTAAAAATGACAAAGAAATAGACATTTAAAAATACAATTAAACATATTATTAATTAATTGAGCATGCAATGTTAAAATATAGATTCCATGTAATATTAAAAATTTGATAGAAATACTTGTTTTAAAAAAAATAAAGCACGTCATTGATGAATTAATGTGTATTGATTATTAAAACATAGATATGCATGTAATATTACAAATTTTAAAAGTGAAATTATGAAGAAATAGTCATTTAAAAGTAAAATAAAACATAGAATGGTGTAATGTTAAAAATGACAAAGAAATAGACATTTCAAATACATGCTCATATTTTTAATTAATTGAGCATGCAACGTTAAAAATTATAAAGAAATACTTAATAGTAGAAATACTTAATAAAACTTAATAATACTTAATTCTATTCAAAAATAGAATAAAGCATGTTATTATTGAATTAATAAGCATGGATTATTAAAATATAGAATGATATAATCTTAAACAAAGAATTTTTAAAAATCCAAAGATTAGCTGCCTTTAAAGTAAAATGAAACATATTATTAACTAATTAAGCATGCAACGTTAAAATATAGATTCCATGTAATATTAAAAATTTGAAAGAAATACTATTTAAAAATAGAAAAAAAGCATGTTATCAATGAATTAATGAGCATGGATTATAAAAACAGAGTGCATGTGATAAAAAAATTGAAAAGTGAAATTATGAAAAAATAATAATTTAAAAGTAAAATAAAACATGTTATTACTTAATAAGGGTGCAATATTAAATTATAGAATTATCTAATATTAAAAATTACAAAGAAATTTAAGACATTTAAAAATACAATTAAACAATTAATTAATTGAGCATGCAATAGTAATATATAGAAAGAAAGACTTGTTTGTAAAGTAGAATAAGTGTGTTATTAAAGAATTAATGAGCACACAATATTAAAATGATGTAATATTAAACAAAGAATAAAATGACAAAGATGAGCTGACTTTGAAGAAAAACAAGCAGACAATATTAAAGAATTATGTAATGTTAAAAAATTCAAAGAAATAGACATTTAAAAATACAATTAAACATATTAATTAATTAATGAGCATGAAATGTTAAAAATTAGAGATAAATATTTGTTTAAAAATAGAATAATTATTAATGTATTAATGAGCATGAATTATTAAAGCAAAGAATGCATGTAACATAAAAAAAATTGAAAAGTGAAATTATGCAGAAATGGTCATTTAAAAATAAAATAAAACAGGTTATTACTGAATGAGCGTGCAATATGGAAATAAAGAATGATGTATAGTGTTAAAAATGACAAAGAAATAGACATTTAAAAATACAATTAAACATATTAAGTAATTAGCATGCAACGTTAAAATATAGATTCCATGTAATATTAAAACTTAGAAAGAAATGCTTGTTTAAAAATAGAATAAAACGTGTTATTAATGAATTAATGAGCATGGATTATTATAACATAGAATGCATGTAATAATAAAAAATTAAATTAAGAAAAAAAAATAGTCATTTAAAGGTAAAATAAAACATGTTATTTCTTAATTGAGCATGCAATATTAAAATATAGATTCCTGGAAATTAATTAAATGTTATTGCCGAATTAATGAGCACGTATTATTAAAACAGAATGAGGTGATATTAAACATAGACTAATAAAATAACAAAGATAAGCTGACTGAACAGTAAAATAAAACATGCTATTACTTAATGAGTTTGCAATATTAAAATAAAGATGTAATATAGAAAATAAGATAGAAATTTAAAAAAACAATTAAACATATTATTAATTTTTGATCATGCAATATTAAAATGTAATATTAAAAAATAGAAAGAAATACTTGTTTAAAAATATAATTAAACATGTTTTTAATTAATTAGAGCATGAAATTTAAAAACAAAAAATACATGTAATATTAAAAAATTTAAAAAGTGAAATTATATAGAAAGAGTCAATTAAAATGATTAAAACAATGAAACATATTAATTAATTGCAATATTAAAATATAAAATCCAAGTAATATTAAAACCTAAAAAGAAATACTTGTTTAAAAATAGAATAAAGCGTGTTATTAATGAATTAATGAGCATGGATTATTAAAATATAGAGTGATGTAATGTTAAACAAAGAATAATAAAATGACGAGGAAATGATGATGTAAAAATATAATTAAACATGTTATTATTTAATGAGCGTGCAATATTAAAATATAGAATGGTGTAATGTTAAAAATGACAAAGAAATAGACATTTAAAAATACAATTAAACATATTATTAATTAATTGAGCATGCAACGTTAAAATATAGATTCCATGTAATATTAAAAATGAGAAAAATACTGGTTTAAAAATACAATAAAACATGTTCATGATAAATTAATGAGCTGGGATTATTAAAATATCGAATGATGTAATACCAAACAAAGAATAATACAATGACAAAGATGAGCTGACGTAAAAGTAAAAATGTTATTGCTTAATTAATGAACATGCAATATTAAAGTAAAGCATGCATGTAATGAATAAATAAATGAACTGTGTGTGCAGGGCCTCTGGACACTGACATGCAGCTGCAGGCACGCTGTTTTTCAGGTAATGTAGAGCTGCGGCGCTCTTTCTCCTCCATGTTTTCTGACGGTCAGCTTCTGTCCTGCGAAGAATCCGGAGCAAAACTCATGAAGATCCTGCTGGACGACCAATATCCGTCAGGTGCTCATCTGGACTACTATGAGCTCTAGAACCTGCCGCTCCGGCCTGTGCAGACATACAGCTCAAGACACAATTATTAGTTATTCTGTGAATTTCTTCTTCAAATATTTCCCAAATGATGTTGAACAGATTCAGGAGTTGTTCACAGTGTTTCCTCTAATATTTGTTCTTCTGGTGAAAGTCTTGTTTGTTTTATTTCGGCTAGAATAAAAGCAGTTCTTAATTGTTTAAAAGTCATTTTAAGGTCAATATTATTAGCCCCCTTCAGCAATATTAGTTTTGGATTGTCTCCAGAATAAACCACTGTTATACAATGACTTGCTTAAATATTAAATACTAAATTTAACAAGAGGGTGAATAATTCTGACATTTCTAATCATAATAGTTTAATAACTCATCTCTAATAACTGATTTATTTTCTCTTTGCCATGATGACAGAGTATATTATTAGAGATATTCTTCAAGACACTAGTATTCAGCTTAAAGAGACATTTAAAGGCTTCACTAGGGTAATCAGGGTAAAGTTAGTGTAATTAGGCAAGTCATTGTATAACAGTGGTTTGTTCTGGAGACAATCCAACTCTAATATTGCTGAAGGGGGCTAATAATTTTGCATATAAATTTTTTTTTTATTAAAAACTAGCCAAACTAAAAGACATAGGACTTTCTCCTGAATAAATAAATATTATAGGAATTACTGTGCAAATATCTTTGCTCTGTTAAACATCATTTAGGAAATATTTTAAAAAGATTACCAAATTTTTGACAGGAGGATGAATAATTTTGACTTTAACTGTATATAACAATGATGCACATTTTATTTTTATACTCATTTTAGGTGCTGATCTTATAATAGAATACATGTTTGGTGCTAGATTGCTAAAGGAGAAACACAAATAGAAAAGTAAATCCTAGATTGAAAAAATTTTAAAAAACAATAATAAAACATGCTACAAAAATAATAAAAATTTAGTTTAGTTTAGTAAAATTTAAATGTAAAAATGCCACTTTTGTTTTTATAAAAATGTCAAATATGACTTTTGTTAAAGAATATTTTATTTTAGTTTTTCTTTCTTCAATTTATGTATTATTATTATCATATTTTTATCTGTTTTTTGTATGGTTGATTTTTATATTAATTATTTAGTAGGAAAAATGAATGAAACTAAAAAGAACTAAGATGACAATGAAATACGCATTAAAAACTCAAATAAATTTCTAAAATATATTAATAAATAAATCAAATCAATTAAATTAATTTAAAACAGTTCACTTTAAATTAACAAACATGCAAAAGATGTGTTTAATGTTCAATTTGTGGAACTGATGGACGATATTTTAAAACTGTTAAAGCAGAAAAATAAATTAAAAAGTAAATACTCATTTTAAAAATAATAAAATAATAATACTTAAACATTCTATAAAAACATTGTAGTTTGTAGTTTAACTTTAAATGTAAAAATGTCAATTATGTTTTTATATAAATACCAAATATGACTTTTGTTTAAGTGGTGGATATTATTTTAAGTGTATTTCTTTTTAGTTGATTTATGTATAATTATTGTTAGATTTTTTATGCAGTTTTTATGTTTTTTATATTTATTTTTAGAAAGAAAATAAGACAAATGAAATACTCATTAAAAACTCAAATAAATTACAAAAATATATTAATAAATAAAACAAATCAATTAAATAAATTTAAAACACTTCACTTTAAATTAACAAACATGCAAAAGATGTGTTTAATGTTCAATTTGTGGAACTGATGGACGATATTTTAAAGATTGAAAAGCAGAAAAATAAATAAAAAAGTAAATACTCATTTAAAAAATAATAAAAGAATAATACTAAAACATGCTATAAAAATAACACATGAAAAATTTTAATATTGTAGTTTAACTTTTAATTGTAAAAATTGCAATATTGTTTTTATATCAATGCCAAATATGATTTAAAGAGGTGGAAATTATTTTGTTTTTTCCTTCTTAAGCGTAATTTTTAGTTGATTTATGTATTATTATTGTTGTATTTTTATGCAGATTTGATGTTTTTTCTATATTTATTATTTAGAAAGAAAAATGACATGAAAAACTCATAAAAACTCAAATTCATTCCAAAAATATATTAATAAATGTGTAATTTTGAGACATTCAGTAACCTGTAAATGTAAAAAATTGCAAAGCACGTATTTACAGCAATGTTAAATTTGACTCTTGTTGAATTGATGGACATGATTTTATATTATGTATATTTGTCTTAAGTGTTTTGAGTTCATTTTCAAGTGTGATCTTATTCATTTATGTATTGTCATTATATTATTATTATTGTTGTTGTTTTTTGTTTTTACATTTTTTGTACTTTTTTAAACCACAAATTATTTAGAAAGGCAGAAAATATGAATTAAAAGATAAATAAAACATTTTAAAAAGAAAATAAAACATGTTATAAAAATAATGAGCAAATATGTAAAATTAAAATATTTAATAAACCAAAATTTTTTAAATCTTTGTTTATGTTGTTATAAAAATGCCACGTTTGAGTGTTGTTTATTTGATGCACATGGAAATATTAAACAAGTATGTTTAAAAATAAAAAAATGTTGTAAAATGAAATCAAATTTAACTCGAAATGAAATGTAAAATATAGACTGGTGCTATTTTATATGAGAAATAAATGAGTGTCGCTGCATTGCTGGTGTTGTCAATATTATTATGAAAGCATTTGAGGACCTCTAGTGGCCATCAGATAGAACACACCTGCACACACAAACACACTAACATTGAAAAACATTCTCAGAACAACTTTCAGGATTTATAGACACTGCTGAATTAATAAATTTGACCAAAACCATAAAACTAAAATCATTTTTGTTACTTGAGATATATATATATATATAAAACCCAAAAATACAGACATTTTTAAACACATAATGACAAACAATAAACAAAATTACTAAAATTGTATATTCATTTAATTCTTAGTAGTTTTTTGTTACTTTTTGTTTTTCATTTATTCATTCATTTTCTTTTCGGCTTAGTCCCTTTATTTATCAGGGGTCGCGACAGTGGAATGAACCGCCAACTACTCCAGCATATGTTATTACACAGCGGATGCTCTTCAACCCAGCACTGGGAAACACCCACCCACTGACCTGTACCGCATGTGTTTGGATGTGTCGGAGCACCCGGAGGAAACCCACACCAACATGGGGAGAACATGCAAACTCCACACAGAAACACCAACTGACCCAGCTGGGTCTTGAACCAGCAACCTTCTTGCTGTGAGGTAACAGTGCTAACCACTGAGCCACCATGTTTATTTTTAGTGCTGGTCAAAGATTATTTCTTGATTAATCGCATATAAAATAAAAGTATTCAAGACAAATAAATGGCAGCATGATGGCGCAGTAGGTAGTGCTGTCACCTCGCAGCAAGAAGGTGGCTGGTTTGAGCCTCGGCGGGGTCAGTTGGCGTTTCTGTGTGGAGTTTGCATGTTCTCCCTGCGTTCACATGGGTTTCCTCCGGGTGCTCCGGTTTCCCCCACAGTCCAAACCCATGCGGTACAGGTGAATTGGGTAGGCTAAATTGTCCGTGGTAGGCTTGGGCGGTAATATGGTACACCGCGGGATCTAAAAAAAGCAACGATTTCAGTTTCAACCCCGTTATATCATCATAAAAACAATGCACTAATATAGGAGACAAGTATTAAATATTAATTATTTAACGCCTAAAAATGTGTATGCGGGATTGTCATCACGGGAGAGTATGGAGGAGAGAGAGAGAGAGGTGAGGTAAGATGGTGAGTCGCGCACCAAGTGACCTGGGGCCTCATGTACAAAGACTTGCGTGGAAATCTTACTAAAACATTGCGTACGCACAAAGCTGTAAATGTGCGTACGCAGAAAAAAATTCAGGGGCCTCATGTATCAACGCTGCGTACGCACAAAAACTTTGCGTACGCCAGGTTTCACGCTCAGAATCGCTCACGTTTGGATTTACTAATGATGAACTGAACGTGGGAATGTGCGCAGCTTCACGGCAGCTTTCTGGCAGGCGTACGCACATTTTTTGTGCGTGTCTGTTTTATTTCCATTGGCGACTCCTAGAGGCAGTTGTGTTAAATTGCTCTCTACAAAGTGTCTGAGCCTTGCAATGGCAGCTGTATGAGACGGGTTCAGCAGGTATATAAGGTTTCCATACCATACAGTTGACCAGCCAAACATTAAAGCACAATTTGCAGCGGTCGCCTGTTTTCCCAATGTAATCTGAGCGATCTACCGCACGCACATTGCTATAAAGACACTATCTGAAGATGAATTTGCATGCGTGAATCAGAAACATTTCCATTCAATAAATGTGCAAATAAAATATGATGCTTATTGATATGAACTTATTGATGATTCCTACTTGTCTTTCTCGTGATAAATAGTTGGCAAAATCTGATATGTAGCGGGGGAAAAAACAAGAAAGAGTTTATTAGACGCTGGATTCGAGCTGCGTTCATGCTCGAACGTATCAATTCACGATCACAAGCGTCTTACGAGCGCGCCACTGAGACTGCTAGGCGTCTTGTAACATTTTACAGATATAAACCACACTATGTCTTTTTTTTAATGCACTCACTGCGATATGTTCAGACCCAACTGTGTTGACCGCATCAGCTAAACTCTCCCACTCTATTTTTTTCTTTTGTTGTTAATTCCGAAGAACAAACTTGCAAATAACACCGCTTTTCTCCGGTCTACCTCCGAAAGCAGCACCTCCATTTCACATTCTGTTCAAAGTTTCTCTTTTTGCTTGCTTTTTCCATTGCTTTTTCGTTGGGTTTTGCCATTAGCATAGTCATTAGCATATTCATACGGGGGAGGAGGCAGGGAGGGGTTTTGTGCTTGTGCATGTTGCGCTCAGTTTCACGTTCTTTCGGATGTACAAAAGAATATGCGTGGGGTTCGGCGTACGCAGTGTTTCATACATCTAAAATTTTTTCTGCGTACGCACATTTACAGCTTTGTGCGTACGCAATGTTTTAGTATGATTTCCACGCAAGTCTTCGTACATGAGCTACCCCATCTGTATTAAAGATCACCGAGAACAAAAACAAAGCACAGAAACATGTGACACAGTCCCATAAATGTCCAACTTTGAGGAGGAGGTTTGACGTTATCAAAATTTGGATGCCGCCCAAGCCTAGTCCGTAGTGTTTGAGTGTGAATGAGTGGGTTTTTCCCAGAGATGGGTTGCAGCTGGAAGGGCATCCGCTGTGTAAAACATA